AGAGAGAGAGAGAGAGAGAGAGAGAGAGAGAGAGAGAGAGAGAGAGAACAAGCTAAGGAACCTGGAGAACGAGGAAAGGAAGCTGCAGGCATTGTGAGAGTGAGGCTCAATGGGCTCCCAGGTACCCCTGTCCACAGCTAGCACACAAGGAATAGTTTTGTGTCTAAACGTGACCATAACGATAGAAACAGACCCTGTGAGGGGTTGGGGGTGGGGAAACAGGTGGTGGTTCCCTTTCTTATGGGACATTCAGGATTAAAGAAGATGAGGAAAGATAAGCAGTCTTGAGGTTTGAGTGTTGTCATAGTCAGTGATGAAGCAGAGAGACTAACAGAGAGACAAGAAGCATGACAGTGATAAGAGACTGAAATATATGGAGAGACAGAAGAGAAGTCCCAGCCCCCCTCCTCCCCTAGCTCCTTCATGGAAGAATGCTGACTACTTACCTGGGTTCTCCTAGCAGGACTGTCTTGGAATTCAGGAAGGAGGCTCATTCTGTCTCATCCAGGATAAACCACAGCCCAGGCCACATTGTGGGACCCTCACTGGTCTGGCAGCCAGTGACACTCTTGCTTCTGTTGCCGTGGATACAGCCTGGTTGGTCTAAATCGCTGGCAGCAAGGAAAGCAGGTGCCAGAGGGGTAGAGCTGGAGATGTTGGGGAACACCAGGTGGGCAGCACACAGCTTTGGGTTGCCCAAGTAGCGGGCAGGTTGGGGTCCTGGTAGGTGCTTCTCCCTTTACACATTCCCACCCCCATCTTCATGCCACCGCCAGTCTGGGAGGGGGCCAGCGCTGGCTCCGCTACTGTTCTGCCTGCCTAGCTACCGGTTCCCCCACCCCACCCCCCACCCCCCACCCAGTCTGCCTGCTGGCCGCAGCCTTTTGTCCTCAGAAGACACGGTCCCAGCGGGGCCTCTGCCAAGCTTCTAGCAGATGCTCAGGGTCCTGGACTCCTCCCTGGGAACACAGGAGCCATGGCCTGGGAGGGCCCCAGGTTAGGGGCACACTCTTATCCAGGCTAACCCCACTCTCCGGGCCTGGCGAGGATGGAGAAGAGATGCAGGTCCACAGCCAGAGGCAGCAGCAGAGGTGGTGTTGAGGAGGGGATGGACGCCAGAAAGAGGGGGAGGGGTGGAGGGAGAGAGAGGCTGGCCTGATAGCCGTGTCCCAGGTTTTAGATCCGGGTTGAGAAGGGTGGCTCAGAGCATCCAAGGGGGGTCCTGAAGCGAGACGAAGGTACAGTGGACCTGCTGGAAGGAATTCCTGGCCCGGGAATCACCCCGCTTCACACAAATCCAGGTTCCGTGATGCGGGGAACACCTAGCTTGGATAGGGTCACAGTGAGGACTCCTGGCCCCTTAGCTGGACTCTATGTAGCCTGTTGGTCCTCCCCTCTCCTCGATTTGCACAGTCCCTGCCCGAGGGGCGGGTGGAGGAGGGAGGGAAGCAGGGAGAGCAAGGGAGGGAAGAAGGGAGGCTGAGCAGCCGGGAGACTCCCAGCCACCAGCAAGGTCCTCCCTGGGGCGGGGCGGCTGGGGCTGGGGGAGGGGGCTGGCGAGACCGGGAGAACTTGGCTGCCTGGCTGACTGAATTGGGATGCTTGATGTGGTGGTTGTTCTTGCCAGGACAATAGCTGACTGACAAAATCAGGCTCAGGCCTTTCTGACTTGAGAGAGGCCTGTGTGGAGGTGAGGGGAAGTAGCCAAGAGGTTGCTGAGAAAGCAACTTACTTAGGCTACTCTGTGCAGAGAGGGCAGGGCTTGTAAAGGTCTGGGGTCGGATTTTGGGCAAAGATTCGGTAGATGTTTCTCAGGTTTGGCATGGAAGGCTTGAAAAAGAAGGTAGATAACCTTATTTAGGATGGGATTTTATGGGTAGGCTCTGGAAGCTGGCTTAGCGAGAGATGGAGGAGGAGTCAGACACCCAGCTTAGAACTCCTGGTCAGGATATCCCCAATGATACTTCTGCTTTTTCTGGGCCAGGAGGCAGGCATGAACTCATACTTAAGGCTGTATTCCAGGATAGCATAAAGCGAAAGATGAGAGGAATGTCTGGGGAACAGAAATGGGAAGACCAGGGAATACAATTCAGTTTTGAACTGGTTTAAAGAGGGACCAAATGATGCTGTGGTGGTTCCTCTAGTTTATAGCAGTCAACAATTCCAGTTCCCTTGATATAAAAATTGTATTTTATTTGTTTTCTTCCCCCATCTGTTGGTTCATTCATTAAATAGCTTTATGTAGGTCCAGTGCTGGGCTCAGATGACTTGAGTAAATCAGACTTGCTGCCTGCCCTTATGAAAACCATGATCTGCCACCAACCTGTGGGCCAGGAAGTCATGCACCTGCATCTGGATCCCTCTGGTACCTGTGAAATCTAGATCCCCCAGGCCTGCTTTCTGGAAATATAAATCTGGTAGGTGGGAGAGGTGTGAAACATTTTTAGAAAACCTTTAGGTGGTTATTTTTATAACCTCTAAATTTGGGCACCATGTTTTGGAAAGGGATAAAATCCTATGGACCAAACATAAATTCGCAGTGGAAATTTGAAAGGACTTTGGATTGATCTAGAATGGAAATCTTTACCTGAAATCTTGTGAAATGCATCTAAGGCTGTGTGGCGGGATGATTTTGTAGCTTTAAATTCACACACACACACACACACACACACAAAAGGAAGAGCTGGATTTCTGTCTTAAGTTGGAAAAAGAGAACACATTAGACTTAAAGGAAGGTGGAAATAGTAGAATTGATAGTAGAACGCAATGGGATAGAAAACTGTAACAGAGAAGATTCACAAAACTAAAGGCTCTTTGACAGATCCTCGAGACATCATGATTCAGGAAATAAGAAAGCATGTCAAAAGGATAAGGATAAGCTAGAATGAGAGACTGTTAGAATTATAATGTTACGCTTGCAATTTTGAAAAATTTGACACAATGGGAAAGTTCTTGGAAGACAAAATTTGCTAAAAGTCACAGAAAATATAGAGTATCTGAGCAAACTTATAATTTTTAAACAAACTGAATTTATGCCTTTAAAAGCTTTAGAAGCTTTTAAAAGCTTTATCTCTAGGAGATACTGCAAGCATGGAAACCTGAGTTCAAATCTGTAGCAACCATGTAAAAGCCTGGCATGACTCTGCCTACCTATAACCCCATCATTGGTGGGCAAGGGCAAGTGGATCCATAGAACTTGCAGGCCACCCAGCCTAGCCAAAACTCAGTGAGCTTCCAGTTCAGTGAGGGACCCCTTTTCAAGGCATTTCTTTTTGTAGAGAGCAATAGAGGAAAAATGTCCTATTTCCTGTTCTGGCTTCTGTGTGCATGTACACACCTCCAAGCTCTCCAGACCCAGACACTGTCCAATAGTCAAGTCTGCAAAACATTCAGAGAAAACCTCCACTTATTTTCTAATTTTTACAAATTCCTTAAGGGATTGAAGAAAAATTATGATTGTTCATCAGGCGCAAAAGAAAAGTACCTAAACAAACAAACAAACAAACAAAAAACTCATAGCAAACTTAAGTTTTCTAAGAATTTAAAGAAGTTTATTAAAATACTGTACTTTCAAACATTATACCTAATGGGGGAAATATTGAATGCTTCCTGTGCTGGCTAGCTGTTGTCAATTTGATGCAAACTAGAGTTACTTGGAAACAGGGAACTTCAATTAAGGAATTTTCTCTAGCACATTGGCCTGAGGAAATGCCTGTGGAACATTTTCTTGATTAATGATTGATCTGGAAGGGCCAGGTGGCCCCAGTTTGTATTAGAGAGCAAGTTGAGCAAGCCGTGGAAAGCATAGGGCTAGGAAGTGGCATTCCTCTGTGGTCTCTGCTTCAGTCTTGCCTCTGTGTACCTATACTGACATCCCTCAGTGATGGATCTGGAAGCGTAAGACAAAATAAACCTGTTCTTCCTCAAGTTGCTCTTGGCCAGAGTTTATTATAGCTACAGAAAAGCAAAGTAGGACACTTCCTAAGATTGGGAACAAGACTAGGTTGCCTACTATAATCATTTTTTATTCAAATAGTACTGCAGGTCTTAGCCAGTGTAAGAAAAAAAAATATGGCTCAAGACAGGGGCTGGAGAGATGGCCTAGTGGTTAAGAACACTGACTGTTCTTCCAGGGGACCTGGGTTCAATTTTTAACATCCACATGGTGTCTCTCAACTATTTGTAACTTCAGGTCCAGGGGACCCAACTCTTAACACAGACATATGTAGACAAGACACCAATGCACATAAAATAAAAAAGTATAAAAAAGGTTCAAGATAAAAATTTCAGTACGGGGCATGGAATACTTTTCTATGAGTTTTTGGTCAAGGAAGCCCCAGGTGTCTCCAAAATAATACAGACTATTTATTGCTCTTGTCAATGGCTACCCACCATAACTAAACAGTAAGGCTCTACCACACACTTTGGTTGCAGGGCATAGAGAAATCAATCTCAAACTAAATAGATAACTTCTTCCTCCTTTCTGGCTAGCTTTCATAATGCCAGAAGGAGCTTGGCAGGTAGCCAATGGAGAACAAATATGGTCTTACCAAGTGCTGGACCTTGCATGCAACAATTATGACCTGCCAGGTAGGAAGAACCCATTGGTGAAAGACTGGCACGAGTATTATGGGATAACTAAGCACTTTCTGATTGGACTTGAGGCCTGCTCCATAGAAGGAATTTTCATTCCAAGTACTGTAATTCTGGTCAAAAGCCCATGGCTGGAAAGATCCTAGACTCTAGGGTAGAACCTGCTATTGTTAGTTTGCTAAATGGTAATGCTGTCAAATTGATTTCTAAATATGATCATATTCTATTGGACATATATATGTAATTCTCAAAAAATAAAGAAAAATAGAAATTTATATACATTAAACATACTAATTTTTTGTATATCAGTTATAGAAAATAAAGCTGTCTGATAAAGAAACAGAAAAGACAAGAGAAAATAAGCATGCAAATATTTACAAATATGACCATGTATAGAACATTAAAATGTGCCGGGCAGTGGTGGCGCACGCCTTTAATCCCAGCACTTGGGAGGCAGAGGCAGGTGGATTTCTGAGTTCGAGGCAAGCCTGGTCTACAGAGTAAGTTCCAGGACAGCCAGGGCTACACAGAGAAACCCTTTCTCGAAAAACCTTAAAAAAAAAAAAAGAAAAGAAAAGAAAAAGAAAATTAAAATGTATTTAAATGTATTGGAATTAGAAAAATTATCAGGGTTATGAGACAGGGTTAATAAAAAGAAAGTAGGCCTTTCTCTTTTCTAAATGCTCTCAATAATGAATTAGAAAAATGAAGAAGACATTATTAAAAGTTCTTTTATTCTCTGAGAATGTCATACACATATACAATGAAATATGAAATAAGATCTTATGGACCCCCCAACTGTTTTCCTCCAATTCTCCCTGCATCCCACCCAATACCTCTCCCTCCTAACTTCATGTTGTAATAGTCTAAATGAGAAGTGTTCCAAATAGGTTCAGGTACTTGAGCATTTGGTTCCCCTGTTGGTAGCCCTGTTTTGGGAGATTTGGGTGATACAACCTTGCTAGAGGAGGTATGACGCTGGAGGTGGGCTTTGAGATTAAAAGTCTCTTGCTGTTTTCAGTTCGTTATCTCTGCTTCATGCTTATGATTCAAGGTGTGAGCTCTCAGCTTCCTGCTTCTGCCAACCTGTCTGCTACTTGCCATCATATCTGTATCTATTATCATTATGGACTCTTGTATCTCTGGAATCATAAGTCATATAAGTTCCTTACATTGCCTTTGGTCATGGTGCTTTATCATAATAATAGAAAAGTAACACACATGTTTATATATATATATGTTATTTGTGTGCATGGATGTGGACTAGTCCACTGCAACATATGAAATATACTAATGGCTACAACTTCAGAGAAGGAGTCTCCTTCAGCAGCTATCAACTACCAGTATCTCCCTAGTAAAGGGCCAGGACTGGAAAGCTTCTCTCCCATGTATTCAGGAATTTTGGCTGCTTTGATCTTGTGTAGGTCTTGTGTAGTTAATCACAGCTGGTGTGAGTTCATGAATGCATGTCATGTCCAGAAGACAGCATCTCATAGCTCTCTTCCCTGTTCTTTTGCTCTTAGATCCTTTCTGTCTCTTCTTCTATGATGTTCCCTGAGCCTTGGCTGGAGCAGGAGAGAGAGGGTATATGCTCGCATGTAAAGATGTCTGATTTAGGGGATGAACACTCACTCAGTCTTTCATTCTTAGCAGTCACACC